GGCTGAAGGAAGTATAGGTCCTTCCTAACACAGAAGACCCTCAGATATTGGAGGTTCCTGATTGGAACAATCCAATCTCCTTCACATCCTGGAAGAGGGGGACCAGGAAGGTCTATCTGTTGAAGACCATCCCTTCCCCTCCCTCCCCCCTCCTCATTTCAAACTCCCTAACCCAAGGACAACATTCAAAGGTTGATATCAGCTTAAAGGATATGATCCAGAAGTTATTGCTAGGGAACACATAATAAAGGCAATGTCAGCCTTCAGGAAACAGGGAAGAACACTAGAGCTAAACTCACGCCTCCTCCAGGGAGCTGAGCTTTGAGCTCTCCGTGAAGGGCTCTTTGGCTCTAGGTAATCTCTAAAGTCCCTTCTAGTCAGTTGCCCAGTATCGATTTCTGCTTTCATAGATTCTGGGCAGTTTTCTTGTATTATTTCTTGCATTATGGTTTCAGGGTTTTTGACTGATTTTCTTTTTGGGAGACTTAAATTGTCTCTCTGCATCCTGTCTTCAAGATCAATGTTTTGTTTGTATAGAGACTGTGCTTTCTTTTAAGGTCACTGTATTTTGTTTCTATCTTTCACTTCCATGTATTTGCATTCCCAATCTGTCAGTCTGTCTTTTGTGTCTCTGAGAGAAGAGACAAATGCACCCTAGGACTTACCACCATGGACTCAAGTATCACTTATTTCTACTGTACAGGCCATAAGTTCTGCTTTGAAAAGTCTTATTTCTCTTTTTAATCATTTAAGACCATTGCTGTGGATCTATGCCTTCTTCCGAATCCAATTCCTTTCCCTTTGTCGTGCAGTATTTATTCAGAGATGCCTGAATTAATTCCCCAGATCTAGAGGCCATTTCCCCTTCTATCACTGATACCTTCCCTATTGGTTTATCTGCTTATGTTCAAGGTCTTTAACTGAGTTCTCTCCCTTTGGAGATCTTTGGGATTTCAGTCTCTTAGCTTCATTTTCCCCTGTTGTTCACATTCTGACTCCCTAGGTCTCTGCCTCCCAGGGACATTTGGGAAGACACAACCAGCCCCTGCTGGATCCTGGGCTCTTTCCCTCAGGTTAGTTGGGGAATGGCCTATAGTCCCATCCTGTTTCACCACCTCTACCCACCTGTCCTGCTCCAGCTCCCTCTATTGCTCTGTTCTCTGGGCAACAGACATTTATTAAGCACTTGCCTCAACACTGTGCTAAATGCCGGGGACACAAAGAAAAGCAAAAACAGAGTCCCCCGCCTCCCCAATACACAACTCCCATTCTAACAGAGGAGAGGGCATGAAAACAACTATATATATATACAAGACAAGTAGTTCAAACAGGAGGTAATCTGAGAGGGAATGAGGAAGGAGCGCCAGGGAAAAACCTCTTACAGGGGTGGGATTTGAGCTCAGTGTAGAAAGACACTAGAAGTGAAGGTGGAGGACATTTAAGGCACGAGAGGACAGCAAATGCAAAGACAGATTGGAGACAGTAAACAGGCCAACGCAGCTGAATGATACAATGGGAGGGAATAACATAAAGGTAGGAGAGGCACAGGTTATCAAAAGCCTTAAATTCCCACAAGGACTTGCTATTTGATCCTGGAGGTAACAGCACCATTGGAATTTACTGAGTGTTTTGTGTGTGTGTGTGTGTGTGTGTGTGTGTGTGTGTGTGTGTGTGATGGTCAGATCTGCAATTCAGGGAAATCACTTTGGTGGCTGCATTGGGAAGGATGGAGAGGTGAGAAATGTGAGGCAGGGACACTAGTGAGCAGGTCAGTGCAGTAGTATGGGGGAGAGGTGGTGAAAGCTGGAGGAGTGGAGAGAGGTGCATAAGTAGGAGAGATGTGAAAGGAGAGAAAAGATTTGACAACAGATCGGATTTATGGGATGAGAGTGAGGAGCAGAGGATAACTAAGGATGCAAGTCCAGGTAACTGGGGGAATGGAGATGCCCCATAGGGAGACTGGGAAGAGGGGAAAGACTTGGGAGAAAACAGAACGAACTCTGTTTTAGGCATAATGAATTTGAGCTGCCTACGGGACATCCCACAGAAGATGTCCAAAATACAGGTGATGAGTCTGGATTGTAGTTCAGGAGAAATAAAGGCTGAATATACAGATAGATTTGGGAATCATCAGCATAGAGATAAATAAACACACAGGAGCAGATGAAATCATCATGAGATAGAATAGAGAGAAGGCAAACAGAGCCATGTGGGAAACCAGTAAGCAAATGCCCAGAAGTATTTCCACCACAGACTTAGCTTTCTCCCCAGGTAGGGCTGGCTTGACCTGACCCATTCCCACTCCCCAGACTAGCACAAAGCCACACTAAATATGTCATCACCTCTAGGGAGCTGCCAAGTGACCCAAGGGAGGAACACACTAGCTAAACCCCAGGCCTTCCAAGTGCCCCCCTCCCTCCTTCTTTATTGGCTCTTTGTGAAGATCTCCTCCCACCCTGAGAGCTCCAGGCCAGGCTCCAGCAGTGCCCCCAGCTAAGCCTTCAAAGGAAAGCTTGGCCTTTGAAGTAGAGACCCTGCCCTCTGAGCCCTGATCAAAGCCTGAGCACAGACAGCCCAGGAAGGAGGGTCCTAGGCACTTCAGCAGTTTCCCTCCCTCCTAGACCAGAAAGACTCTGCCCCTATCTCTCCAGGTTGTACAGAGCCCGAGGCCATCCCTAGGGAGGGAAAGCACCAGGTATTGCCACCCTCACCCCAGACTGACATGGGAGGAAAACCAGTTTAGTAACCCACGCAGAACAGCCTGGAAGTGGAAAATGAACCCCCAAAACACAGTCTAAGGTTAGGTGTGAAAGGAGGAAGAGAAAGCCTCCCCCGACTTTGGAACAATGGATGCCAGTTATTACGAACTGGGGGACTGGCAATTTAGATGAGTGGCAGGTATGAAAGCCTCAGAACCTTTTATGTATACGCTGGGTAAGCCATCCAAAGGGTGAATACCGGAGGCAACATGGTTGTTGTTCAGTCATGCCTGACTCTGTGACCCCATTGAGGGTTTTCTTGGCACAGATACTAGAGTGGTTTGCCGTTTCCTTCTCCAGTTCATCTTATAGATGGGGAAATTGAGGCAAACAGGGTGAAGTGACTTGCCCAGGGTCACACAGCTAGAAAGTATCTGAGGCCAGATTTGAACTTAGGGAGATGAGTCCTCCCTGGCACTCTATCCACTGCACCACCTAGGTGCCACGAGCACTAGCTGGGGGTGGGGGTGGGAGGAATGGGGAGTTTAATCTATGACTTTGATGTTCACAATCCTGTAATCCCAGCACCTTGTTTGGATTCAGTCAAAGGGCCACACTTGAGGACGTAGAAGTTCACGTGTGGCTTCAAGGCAGCAGGTGCCCCACCCCTGCCTTAGTAGATAAGAGCGCTGAGCTCGCCTGTCTGCCTCAGCTTCCTGTAGAGCTGTAAAAGGGGGATCCTAATGACCTCTATTTCGAAGGGTTGTTGTGAGGATCAACCGAGATCATATTTATATAAACAGTGCTCAGCGTCGGGCACATCTGAGGTGCTCGATAAATACTTGTTTACACACAGACACATACCTACAGGTAGGTCAGGTAGGTGCAATTATCATCCCCACGTTACAGAGGAGCAAACAAAGGCCCTGATTACACCGCTTCATCTGTGCAGGATTCAGGCAAGAATTTACCTCTTTCCATGGAACAGTTTCCCAGGAAACCACGACTATTGCAAATCCCCTTCTCTCCCCCAGACTCAAGCCCTCGGCAGCATTTTGTCCCTATTCCTCATCTCCAGCACTGCTCAAGTTAGATGAGCTCTCTCTCTCCAATTTCCAAGGCCATTCGGCCTGGAAGAAGCCCAAAAAGCCAGATGTGGCAATTCCAACCATTAAGAAAAATCCTACATGAAAATTAGCTTGGGCAAACAACCCTCCAGGTAGAGCATGGGCTTAGATCTCTAACACTTTTCCTCGCCTTAAATCCGATATTCAACATAAAGGTATCCTCTGATATCTAAAGGCCAAAATCAACTCCATTCTCGCTCACTTTCCTCATTTTGAAGGAGAAAATGTTCTCTTCCCCTCTTAGCCCCAACTAGCCCCCTTACTGCTCCCTCCAAGGCCACTTGAGATAAATAGGAGCCATTAGCCTCCAGGCTCTCGCATTTCCTCTCCTAAGGCTATGCAGAGACCAGGAAGCCAAGAGCTGCCCCCTTCCACACTAATGAGGATGGTGAGGTCATCCCTATACATAGTGGGTCACTGAGTGTGGAGGGAGAAAGGCACTCTGTATAAGAGCGAGCATGACTGACTACTTCCCAGGACTTCCAGAAGCACGTGATCAAGGCATCTACATTGAAATGAGAAGAATGTGAACCCCATTTTTCTTTGTTTGACAAAAGCCTCATTCACCACACAACCCATGCCACAGCCCAGAAGGAGGACTTTCGCTTACAGCAGGCAGGGACAAGGGAGCCTGCTACACCCGTTTTCCCCAAAGACGCCCAGAGGCCTGACCTGGCATAGTACTGAAGAGCAGAGAAAGAGAGGCACTGCTATTCCCAGACAGAGAGCTACATGGGTTGGATTGATGTGGGATTACTCTTGGAGAGGCAGAGGAAGCCCTAGGCCGCTGGAACACCAAGGAGGACTCCAAAGAAGGGAGGCAGCACCGAGGCAGGCAGAGCTCAGACGCAGTCTGGGATGAGCCAACGCCTGCCTAGAGCACTCTCCAGGTTCACCTCAGAGGTGGGGATGAGGACTCATCCTGGCTACACGCTCTGGCTTCCCAGAAGGGGGAAATGATAACTGAGGCTACAAAATATCTGTACCTCTTTCCTCTTTCCAAAATCCAAACAACTGAATGGCAGTACTTCCAATCTGGCCACCATGGAGCAGAACCAAATCCCGAAACAATGTCCACCGAGAACAGTCGCAGGAATTAGCTTTTCAATTTTTTTTTTTTGTTAAATCAGAGAGAAAATATCACCATTTAGAAAGGCACAGGCTAGAAACAGACTTAAAAACAGAATAAAACATTTTATTCACTTCAAGATTGTAAGTATTCCATATGATATACATATATATTTAGATAATATATAAAACAAAAAGACAAGAAACCAGTAAGAGAAAATATTGGAATGGATCTGCTTTACAGGGCACACTTCACTCTGTAATTTCGTGGTAAATACCACCTCCGCTTGTCCAGGGACGGGCAGAAGGGTAAACTCCCATACCTGGTTAGCACATGATGGGCAGGTTTTTAGTAAAGTGCTGGATAAACATTCTGTGACCAAGAACTGCTGATCTCCCACTGTACTTACAATGCAATTACGGAGTTATTACATGGTTATTGGTGTCCTAAAACAAGGGACATCAAATCATTAATAAAAGGACCCCATCACAGTGAATTTACCTAAATATTTCTGTATTTCACATTGTCCTCCAGTTATTTTCCTTTTTAAATTAAGCATTAGGCCCAGGGCTTATTCCTCATGTTGTATTCCAGTACTGGGTTATTGCTGGGGGAAGAAATAAAAAACACATATATAACACATACAAACAACATGTAAATGATCAAGCATGTAAAGAGCTTAAAAAAAAAAAAAGTTGCCTGCCCCCATTACCTCTGGCACAAGCTGTCCCGAGCATGGAGGGTAAGCTTGGCTGATTTGTCTAGACAACTGAGATAGCACAAAGGGCCCCTGCTACTATGTAGAGGGAAGATGGACACCCACACACCCTTCATTTTGGATCAGGCTGTTAACATAAATTACATACTGGTAAAAGGGGCAAGTTTGCCAGGCTTTAGAGAAAAAAGCCTTTCTCCATAGAAAAGGTCTCTGAAAAGAGCAGTAAGAATGCCTGCATTTGTCTTCTGGGCATGAGACAGGATACCCTCAAGAAGTGAGGGAGAGGAGGAAGGAGGCCAAGAGCTGAATATCTAAGAAGACCAGCTCTTCCTCCTTCCCACCCCAACTTTAAAAGTCAGAAGTGGCCTGACGGTTATGCTACTAAAACAAATCTGATTCACAGACCATCCCTGGCAGGTCACTTCACCTGAAGCCTTATGATCAAAGGGTACCGATAACTCTTTTTTGGCCATACCTGTGAGTTCATCAGTACAGGGAATGCCTGGTGAGGACCTTCCCCCTTAATCCCCCCACCCCTTACCAAAGACAAATCTGTAACTGCTCAAGGCACTAAAAGGTAAGTGACCTGCCTGGGGTCACCTGAAAGTATTTGTCAAGAGATGGGGCCTGGACCCAGGTCTTCCAGGCTGAGGCCTTAATGCCACAATGCAGTTATGGCATTAAAAGAACCAGCAAAAATAAAGATTCTTATTACAAAAACCAGTTTTGGAAAGGCCCTGTGGTGATGGAGCGGAATCTTAACATAGCCTGAAGACCCACAATAGCGCTTTCCACAACGACTTCTCTGCTCTCTGGTTGGGGGCAAGGCTAGCTCACCTTTGCCTTGTTCTGAACGGGGAGATAGAGCTTGAACTCCGCGGGCAGCTCGTCCTCTGAGTAGAGTCTGTCAGAGAAGTACACTCGCCGGATGCGACAGTTGGCGTGGATCTGCAGATGCAAAACTGCATTTCAAAGGCTGGAAAGGCTGACTGTCTCTTCTTTCTTCCTCTCCCTGACTCCTAATCCTTTTGTGGTGATGCTGCATTTATTTCTACTCCTCTGGTAACAGCTTGGCTCTAAAACAGATCCTGGCCTCCAACTAATTTTCATATTCGTGGCCTTGTCTCTCTCCAGCCCCTCTTCAAAGCCTCCTTCCAACAAATGCTATCCCTGAGAACCCAAAATTGCCTTGCTTGCCGCCCCGCCCCCACTCATCTGGGTCTCTTAACTGCAGAAGCCCCCTGACAATGCCTGACACTATTTCAGGATCCATAACAGGGCCCAGAAGACAGAGCAGATTCCTTCTCCAGAGCTTTTCTGATTTACACCTGGGCAAGGAGGGCGTACCTGCACCCTGAGGGTTTCTATGTAGTTTGTGCCATATGCCCGTCGGGTAAAGTCAGACAGATTGAACTGGATCTGGTTCCAGCCGTCATCCAGCCGCATGGGCATGGTGCAGATGAAGGGCTTAACTCGAGTGGTGCTCTGGTAGTTACTGGCCCGGAACCGTCGACGCACATTCTTATCATCTAGAACCTGTCATCAGGTAAGTGGGGCAAGAGAAGAGGAAGAAAGTGAATGGCTGCTTAAAACAGTGTAACCAAAGTGAGGCAAGCTCCTGAACACAAAGCCTGGTTGTCCCACAGTTTGAGCGTGGAGGAGAAATGCACAGCCCAGAGACAGTCCATACTGGACACAGATGGCCAGGAAGTAGCAAGAAGTTTATCCTGTCATGTGGCCAAGACAACACCATCTGCATGTGACATCATGGGAGGGGGCATGCAGACCACAAAATGAGTTCATGAACCTTCTCTCCACTGAACATCCAGTGGAGAGCTGAGGCCATCAGTAACCCAGGCAAGAGCTATGAATCACAGAATGAACACTGACTTCTTCTCTAGCAATTAATTCCTAGAGTTTCTCTGACCAAACTTTAAATGCCTTGATTGTTGTTACCACATTCATATCACTAATGTCACACAAATTCTATAGTTCAGAGGAAATAAGATAGACAAAGAGGGAGATGCCCTCCTGATGAGAGACATTTCAGCTCTTCCAGCAAGGACCCAAGGGCAGGGACTTTGTTTTTGCTTTTCTTCCTATCTCCAGGGCTTAGCTACAGGGCCTGGCACCGAGTAAGTGCTTGATTAATGCTGTTGATAAGGGAGACAGGATAATTCTCCTTAACCCAAGGCAGTAGACTCTCTCTCTCTCTTTTTCTCTCTCTCTCCCTCTCACCTGCACTTCAAAAGTGAAGTACTTCTTCAAATTTTTGATGATCATGACCAGGAAGGGAAGTTTGATGCCCAGCGTCTTCTTTGGGTCCGCTGGGCAGGTGATATATGTAGTGCTATGGAAACAGACAATACAGAGAACAAGCCTGGTTACTGTCCTTCCCGACCGCCATCCTGATTCTCTTCAATCTGTCCCCAGCTGGATGAGCCCTGTGTCTCTGCAATCTCTGCAGCACAGAGGCAATATGTGAAGAAAATAAACCGAGACTAGATTTAGGAAAACGCAAGGGAAATCACCTCATCTAGATGTCTCAAGACACAGCTGAAGAGGATCCTTCAACCTTTTCGATGCTCCAAAAAACTCTGAAGTAACTGCCCAGCTTAACAACCCAAAAGATTGATGTTATTCAGAGGGATATTCAATAGACCTCATCAGATGGCTCTTTCAATGTGAAAACAATCCAGATCTGAAGCCACAGAGCCACCAAAGCCTTCCCCAACATCCCCAAAGCACAAAATACTCCAAGTCACGCAACGCAGGGAGCTGGGCCCACACTTTCCCTTAATCCTGGACACCTCTGCTGGGGAACACATAGCACCCACCTCGTGTCTAGGAGAACAAAAAGTTTTGGGCAAGCTACCTGACATTTGTCCCTTCGATCTCTAGCACCAGGGACTGGATGTCGTTATCGGTGATTCTTTTGATGTGGCCATTCCGCACCTAGGGACAGAGAGGAAATGGAATTGGTCAGAACTCAAATATATGGAAATCAGCAGGATGTGGAGGAGGGGTGAGGGGGGACGCCTGTGCCAATGGCTTGCCAGCCTAGGAAGGGTGTGCTTCAGCTTCAGACTGGCACTGCTAAGTGGACAGAGCTGCGCAGTCTCAAACCCCAGCAAAGGGACTGGGGAGTCATCGAAAGATCAAACACATGCAACAACCTCGGTCAAGAAGGCCAACCTTAAAAACACCATCCTCCCCTTCAGGCACAATGGACCTTGTATACACCTCTACATTTGAAATGATTCTTATCAATATACCATAACAAAGGATCTAATAAAAAATAGAAAAAAATCAAAACAGAAAGATTTTCCTGTGAAGATATGTTTTCTTTAAAAAACCAGGACCCTTGGGGCAGCTAGGTGGTGCAGTGGATAGAGCACCAGCCCTGGAGTCAGGAAGACCTGAGTTCAAATCCCAGTCTCAGACCAGACACTTGACACTTTCTAGCTGTGTGACCCTGAGCAAGTCACTTAACACCAACTGTATCGCCAAAAAAAAAAATAAAATAAAATAAAAAATCAGGACCCTAGTCGGCAAAGATGAATGTCAAAAGGGACTATATCTATAAATAAGTAGGGTTAATATGATTGAGTCATGGAATACTAGAAATGGGGTTGCCCTTGAAGTTCAAAACTGGTATTTTTTGGGAAAAAGAAAAAAAATGACATGCCTTAAAAAGCATACGATATACATTCCCACAAATGTCCTCCCAGACCACTCTAGACTACACTTATGTCTCTCCTCTCCACATACCCAAGTGTGGTTACCAGTCTGCACTGTACAACTTAGTACTCGATGGCATCTAGTCTTCTTTTTTTTTAAACACAGTTTCATGTATACAAGCATTATCTTCTCCAGAAAACTAATAATGGCTAGCAACTGAATCATACTTTTCCCTTTCCCACACTTTTTTGCACACAACACACCTAATCAATAGTATCACTGTTGAAAATAATACTAATAGCTGACGTTTAGAGTTTTAAGGTTTACAAAAGCGTTTTATGAACATTATCTAATTTTTGAAAGTTACTCTAGGAAATAATAGTGTGTGTGTGTGTGTGTATGTGTGTGTGTGTGTGGTGTGTATGGGTTCAAGAAGAAGGGTTTAAATAATTCCTAAGATTGATAATGAGTTATTAAAGGAAGTTAGAGATGTTTAACATACACTCTAACCTTTCAGAGTTGTCATGGAAATTACAAAATACTTTTCACACAAATGAAGTCAGATCTAAATAATTGGAAAAACATCAGTAGCTCATGGGTAGGCCGAGCTAATATAATAACAATGACAATTCTACCTAAGCTAATTTATTCATTCAGTGCCATAACAATCGAACTACCAAAAATTACCTTATAGAGTCAGAGCTGTCGTGGAGCATCATCATACTTTCCTTAAAAAAAATTCCCTTGGTAGAGTTCTATTCACAGAACAGTAGAACAGACCCTTTATCTCAGCAAAGACAGCATTTTCTACATTGTCTAAAAATCAAACCCCAAATTGCTCCTAAAAATGAAACTGGCGAAGGCTCCTAGTTAAAATCACAAATGGTTAGTCTATTTAGGACAAACCAACATTGCCAAATGCTTTCAGAAGAAGTGGCACATCTCTGGTACTTTCAGGACCATGGCTACTGCCGGTTGTGAAGGAAAGTAGAGCTCAAGATGCAAAGACCTGAGGAGAGAGAGAGGGTCTGGAGTGAGGGGTGACTTTTGACATTCATGGAACATGCTGGGGTGACATTCACCAAGAAAACTACCCCTGCATTGATGCTGTCAATATGACCTTCATGAATCAATAAGGAAAGAGAGACCTTAATTTAAATAACACAATCATTCTTAACAACCTAATTTTTGAACATTTTGTTAACATAAGTTATCTGTTTGACAGCTGACTAGTAAAGTTTGTAGAATTAAGTTGGAATTATACCCTCAGGGCTTCTAGAGCTAGCTACTGAAAAGCAGCCCAAGTATTCTAATTTTTCTTTTTTAAATCAACACATCCACAACAACAAGTAAGCATCTAAGATGGTTTTAAAGTTTGGCCTTTGGAAACACTTAAGGAAGATATCCTTAGCTATATGAGCCAAAGTCAACAAAAGCAATAAGGCCGCTCTTACTTAGAGCTTAGCACAGCGCCTGGCACATAGGAGGTGCTTAATAAATGTTCATTGATTCACCAACCCACGTACCAAGCTCTGTCAGGCTTAAGGAGACTTGGGACACAAAACACCCTGCCTTCTGCCCGCTCCCAGGTTTACAGTAGATGACTTCCCAGGAATACTCCAGAACACTGAGGCCGCCTATGCAGAAGCCAACAAACAGGAAGCTACAGCCAGCCAACTGTATTCCTACATCTCTGCATTGGCTGTAACTTCCTGAGGGAAAGATTACTTTGGGTGATAACCCTGACAAGTGACACTCTTAGAACCCAGCTGATCCAGATCTGCAGACAAGAAAGTTTCTGGAAGTGAAACTAGTGAAGGAGTTTTTGTTGGAGGACAAGCAGAAGGGGAGAGAGCCAGTCATGTCTCCCAGGTCCTAGGCATACAACCTGGCTGGCAGTGTTGCCTTCACCCGTCCTGAGGAGTCCAGCCTTGAGAGAGAGTGGTACCGCCTGCTCCACTGCCCATTTAATTCAATGGCACTCAGCTGAAACCGAGAACACTGATGCTAATTAATAAAGGATCTCTATATCACAAGCTGCCAATTCCTCAGTGGCCAAGGCTGGAAATGAAATTCAAATGAGTAAGGTTCATTAGTGAAAGCTTATTTCCTCAAGGTCCAAGGACTGCAAAGGTAAATCTGACTAAGATTAACCTGACAGACAGATATCAAGGCAAAATGGACAGTGCTGGACCCAAAGTTAGGAAAACTGGTTCCAATCCCACCTAAGATTTAATTAGGTATGTAACCACAGGCAAGTCATTTAACCTTTCGGAGCCTCAGTTTCCTGATGTGTCTAATACTAATGTGAATTAGTACTAACTACTAAGAAGAAATAAGAAAAAGGAAGAAGAAGAAACCTACTACAGGACAGTTCTCCAAGATTATTAGTTTAACTTATCTACCATTCTCTGCTCCACACACTGGAAAAGAGGGTTAGATTTGAACCCTGTTCTTAATAAGCTCATGCAACTTCAAGTCACTCAAATTCCCTGGCCCTGGTTTTGTTGCCGGTCCCTATCAACTATGCAAAGACTACCTAATGACTTCCAAGGCAACTGGAAAAATTGTTTATCTGCCTTGATGGTTAATTCAAAAATAAGATTAAGAGCCATGAAAGGAAACCCAACTTCCAAAGAACCTTTTATATCTACCTCAGGGGCACGAATGTGGTACTAGTTCTTGGAAAATATTTACTTCTTTTCTTAAACTCTTCACAGATCAGGTCACTGGGTTAACTTGCACCAAAGATAGATCACTCTTCAATTAGAACTATCTACTCTGGAAGCAGTTTTTCTGACTCCTGCTATCTAAATTACTGACTTCCAAATTTTTTTTTTTTGGAGTTGCCACACATCATTTAATTTGAAGACCTATCTACCCCAAGACTACAAATGCAGTGTGGCAAATTAAATTTACTTTGCTAACTTAATGATGCACTTTGAAATAAATTAGAGATACCCTACATATCTTAAAACCAAGTGTTAGAATCACTTAACAGTGACACCCAGCCTTCTGAATGCCAATAATGGATTCTGTCAAATTGTATGCAAGAAAAACAATCTTCAAACTTCTATCTTGTAAACAGTCCTGTCTTTGGATAACAATTTATGCTAGAGTAAACAGTGAGAGAACACTGATTTTAAAAAATTTTACCACCAAGGAAGGAGTTCAGTAGGAGGGGAAAAACAGGAAAAGGATCTGTTGAATGCTTTGCGCTTATAAAAGCACTCTAAAAATAAAATCAGTTGAATCTACTCCACATATTTCTACCCCCCTTTGCCTCATCTTTCTAGTCCCACCCAATTCTCCCAGCAGCTGAACCCCACAGCCATCCAGCAAACTAAACGGCATGTTCAGATTCACCTTCAACCAGAGTCAACGTCCCAACAGAAGTTAGCACTAAATCAGAGCTTATTCAATGAAGGAAACATGCTGAGGGAGACCTCTGCAGACAGTTAGGCATCATTACTCAGTAATTACTGAGGGCCCAAATCTACATTCATTTTCAGCTTGCAACTCTTCAATCAGCAAATCTAAATCATCAGATAACTATCCAGTGCAAGAGAAGTTAACTGTTTTGTTTTGTTTTTGCTTCAGAAAGTAAAGGCCAACCTTGTGAGGTTATATATCTATGTATGGTTAACAAGATTTCTTGTTAACTTACAATAAAGTCTTACTTACTAGATTGATAAGTGTAACTTAGCAAAAGTAGGTTTTTAAAGAAATCTATTTTGCTTTCATGTAATTAGAATGTGTCTGACTTTCCTCGTTACACAGGCTGCTGGAAAGTTGTTTACGTGGAATTTTTGTACATTTACCAACTCTGACACTTATTTCACCTGTGACTCTGTGCAAGTCACTTACCTTTGTGAACTTCAGCAGCCTCATCTATCAAATGGGAATATACTCAAATTCCCACACCCCTGTGCAAGAGCACATTTGATCAAATGTCAAACACTCAATAAATGTGAACTGCTTTTAAAAGTACTACAGAGATCACTATTTAAAGCTAGAATAGAAAGAAACTTGAGGAGGTTCAGAAATCAAGGGTCACCGAGGTAAAAGAGATCTGGAAAAAAAAATATTTAGAAGTTCCATTCATCCACTTTTATGAAACAAAACAAAAAACATAAGACACTATTCATTAAGTCCGACTCCCCTCTCCCCACACACACACACAAAAAGACCACTATGGTCTTCTATTCTATATCATGACCAACTAAGGGAGAAGAAAAGAAGGGGGAAAAAAAATTAGAAAAAATATTCAGACACACAGTTGGAGCAAATGGGCCAGAAAGACCTTCATGGAGTAACAACTCCATCTTGTGGTTAAGCCATGTAGCACTTTCACAACTACTGGCATCCCTTAACCATGCCCTCCACTTGCAATCAACTGAAATTAGTATCTTAATGATACACTATTTATGATAGAAGAATTAACTGTTTAAAAAAGAATGAAGAACGAGTTCTGTTGGACTCAGAGGTTAAAGACATTATCTCTGATCACAAAGCCCTGCAAATTTTTTTTATCCAATAGAAATAATGTTTATGGTGACCACTTACTGAGTTTCAGTTAACTGCAGTCTGAACTCGCGTTTTACACCAGGGCTTAGATAAATTCACTACTTTTAAGGAGTCAGAACACATCATTCTAGTTTGATTAGCTACAAGGAGTTATGACTTTCAAAGCAAGTTTCTTCTAGGCAGGTAACTGCCCCAAATACAGTAATGAAGATAAAAATGTTAGCAAAATGTTAACAGATGTGATAAAATTTTGAATATCCTCAAAAAGTTACCCTATCAGGTAGGGGTTATTTGTAGATCAAGTGGGTGATCCTGGAGAAAGACTTAAATGAAGCATGAATTCTACCAGTGCTCTCCACACTTTTCACATTCAGGTTATCAGCCAGAGGCCAAAGTACCCAGTACCCTAGTATGGGCATAACTCACCATACAAAAGGAAGGAAGAAATCAACTCTCTATAAACAGCACTGAGAATTCTGGAACGCCCTCTATTAATATGGGCAAGGTGCATTCTTCATCCATCTGGCTAGAAGCCAATCTTAGTAGTCTATTAGGGCTCAATTACAATGAGCACAATTTCATCCATAAGCAGAACCACCTCCATCAAAGGGGAGTCTCCTCACATGACTGGCAAACATCTCTGGTGGGCACAGGAGAGCATATCGCTGTGAGAGGCTGACACTCAGTAAATCAACTACCACTGAGGAAGAGAGCGTGTAGATTATCTACACCAGTGGACACTGCTCCCATGATGATGAGATCTCAGTCCACTGAAGTATATAAGTGTTAAATGTTAATATAACTGCAATCGTGTTGTAATTATCTACATCAATATTTACCAAACAGGTACAAATTAAGGTCACGGCACCAGCTCTTCCATGAGCTCCCCACATTTCATCCTTACTCCTGATATATTTTGTCCCTAATGTGGCCCTAATCCCTGGCCCTGAGACTGTTTTCAAGTTGTTTTCAATTTCAAGGTGCTTCCAGATATCTGGCAAGTGTTTAAAGTCATGTTCTGGTCATAGCACTGAATCACTGATTACGTGTACACACTGTCCATAATCTCAGTATTGTTATTCTATGCATTCAATCCTCTGCATGCTTAGAGCTTAAAAAAAAATCCCCAAGTATTTTTAAATCCTGTGTATTTAAAATGGTAACGTAAAAACATTAATAATTCTTACATGAAGGTCTTTTTCAAAAAGTTTTGTGGTTCTAAAAGTTCTTTACTAATATGGATATTTTAGATTTATTATGTTCATCTGTTGTATAATTTATCATCTGTAATCCTGGTAGATGAACAAATACCTTGTGTGTGTGTTTATATCGTCAGGGTATCATCTGACCTCTAGTGGCAATGTTAAGGGACACACAGTGCACCATGGTAACTAGCTTTTATAATTCATATGTAAACATGCTGACTATTAATATAGGATCAAGCCCAAAATAAAAACATTGAAACATGTCTGTAAGAAAGATTTCATTAAATCCTTTTGTGGCTTTGCCCCTAACAAAATGCTAAAATTTCCAAAACCAAGAGAGCTTTTGGAACTTTCCTCAAGCTCCCTGACATTCATCTGAATCTCTCTCCTTTCCACAATTTTATTGCATTCTTCCCCTCAATTCCATTAGCTGAACACTTCTAGTCTGTTTCTAAGCTGGATAAGCTAACCAGAGGGAGCCACAGTCAGTTACTGGCTCACATCTACCTCTCTCATTCACTGGAACGAGGGGTATATCCTGCCGTTTGCAGATGCGCAATTTCAGAATGTATCGAACTTTATTTCACTGTGAACAAACTAAGTTACCAGATGGATACCTGGACCACATAGTTTAAAAAAAAAAAAAAACATGCTTCACTAACTTTTAGCAACAACAGCATCAATGGCATGAATTCTTAAACATTAGTATAAGGAGGAGGTTGGTTAAGTTTCACATGCGCAGTCCTATAATTTTTAAAGCTTTCCAAATCTCTCTCAACAAGCTTTCAGATATGAAGACGATGCCTCTGACTGTACACCATTCTATAGGCTAACCTAGGCCATCTATACTTAATTTCCTCATCTACTCTGTGACCAAGAACTTGTACCTAACAAATAGCTGCTTGCTTAGGGGGCCAGAATTCTCCTCTGTGCAAAGCAAAATGAACCAGATGAGAAACAAACCTGCAACCCTGATTTCAGCCACACCAAGCCTTCTTAGGCTGATCTCTGTGCACATACTTTCATCAGCAGTGTAGTCTGACGCTGACAACCAGGGAGTCACAACCACACCAGAAGTACAAAGAAAATCTGAGACAGACTGAGGAGACTTTAGAACCCTGTTCCAGCATGGATCATCCCATGCATTCAGGTACACAGGCCCAATGATATACCTGAAAGTCTAACACTCTGGACTCTGAAAGCCTGAAGCAAGAGGGTGCACCCACACCTATGAGGCAGGCCTGAGTCCTGTTTCTGGACAACAGCATTTGAAAGGGATCCGACTATATTAAACTAGAATATTCAGTCTCCCTAAATGTTGCTTTTCAGTATGAAGTTTGCTAAAATCTACAGAAAAGCAAGATTATTCTGCCTGAGCAAAATCAGAGAAAGTTAAAGAAAAACAAGATACTCAAAAGGGTTCAAAAAAAAAAGTTTCACATTTTTGATGAGAAAACTTCCTGAGTACAGATAACATGAATGTGACACTTCTCAGTGATCCCTGCTAATAGAGGGGAGCAAGGTTGTGTATAATTGAAATCATTTTTATTTGACTTCAGGATATTCATTTTGTATTTCCATTTGAATGTGTGCAAGTTGGATATCCTGGGAACACAAATTCAAAACAAAACAATTCATGTTGTGAAAATCCACCCAAAGAAAGCCAGAGCTTGAAGCTGGAAAACTGACCAGCTTCTGCTCCACATCCTCCCAACCTGATAGACCAAGCAGTAGCAATTAAAACAGGGTCCTGCATTTAGCTCAGAATTTATGCCCTTGGTGACTTTTTCTTTCACTATTTTCCTTTTTTTTTTTAAATGCAAACAACACTAAGGCTCAAATAGGTCAGCTCAGATCCCAAAGCCTATAGAATCATGCAATCAAATACCAGTGGAAGAGACCTTAAGAGTCACCTATTCCAGTCCCTTCATGTTAAGGATGAGGAAACTGAGGCTTGCCCAAAGCTACTCAGCCAGTCAATTGTAGAGTTTCCTGAAACCAGTGCTCCAACCCTTTCATGCTAATTCCACTGCATTTCCCTGCTTGCTCCATCACATAATGGATCAGCCTCCAGTTACAGTTTGGGATTATTTCCAGAATCAGTGAAAAGGAATAAATAACTGAAACCCATATGGGGAAAGGAAGAGTTGGTTCCAATCTGCAATTTTACAAAGGTGGGAAAAGCTGTGCAGAAGGAAGCCCAATGGGAACTGAGAGCTAAGAAAAACACTTAACTTGGCCTTTGGTGAAGTCCAATGAGCATTCTGGATCTGTAAAACTGGGGTACTGGACCAAATGATCTCTAAGGTCCCTACTAACCCCATTGTCAAAAATGACTAAAGGCTGAGAAAAACACTGCTGTCTTCAAATGTCCAAGACATGTGCCTCTCCCCAGCAGGGGTATGCTAGTCACCACAGGCAGGGAATAGGAAGGGACCTCAGAGATCCTCTGGTCTAATCCCTTCATTGCCAGATGGGATAAGTAACTTAGGATCAGGCACCTAGAGGTGGAAAAGACCTTAAAATGGCATCTAGTCCAACCTTCTCATTTTATAGATGAAGAAACTGAAGCCCAGAGAAGGTAAGTTACTTAGTGGAGATCACATTGGTATTAAAAGGAGGTGGGGGTTAGAATGTGAAACAAGCTCTTCTGCCTTCAAAACAATTGCTCTTTCCACTGTACCACAATCCCTCCTTCCACAGTCACCTGCTCACCAATGTATGTCACATCTTCTCCAACTACCTGGATTACAAAGCTTCACAAGATGCCAAGACCATGAGGATCCTCCCTACCTTCACAAAGCCTGGATGGTTACACACCAGCTTTTCATGCTATCTCCTCTGATCTCCACCTCCCCACCCTTAGGCAGAGGGAGCAAATATCATTATCCTCATTTATAGAGGAGGAAACTGAGGCATGGAGAAATTAATTACCCAGGGCCATAACGAATAGACTAAGGAATTATTAGTTATTAGACTGGACTTTCTAAAGGCTCAGGGGAAGACGAGATTTTCGTGGGAGTGGGGAAGAGAACAGGATGAGGGAGGTAAGGAGGCGGGAGGGGGATGAGGTAATGAAGGGGAGGAGGGGATGCAGAAGAAGGGGGCCAGGAGGATGGAGATGGAGGGGATGGAGGAATGAAAGGGATGAGTGCGGTAAGAGGAATGGAGAGACAGAGGGGATGGAGTGAAGGGGAGGAGCAGAAGGGATGAGGGAGATGGAGAGGACAGGGAGGGGATGGAAGGAAGAGGAGGATGAAGAGAGGGATGGAAAGGAGGATGGAGAGGATGAGGGGATGGTAGGGATGAGGGGATAGAGGGGGGATGTGAGGGACGAAGGGATAGAGGGGGGATGGTAGGAATAGAGGGACGGGAGGGATGAGGGGACAGGGGGGGATTGGAGGGACGAGGGCATGGATGGGAGGATGGAGGGCTGGGGGAGGCCCGGGGGTCCCCGCAAGCCCGTACCTTCTTGTCCCAGATCTGCAGCGGCTTGCTCCCGATGCTGTAGAGGATGGAGAGGAAGCCGCTCTGGAACGTGTTCTTGAACATCGTGCCGGCGGCTTCTTCCTCGCCCCGGTCCCCGCCCTCCGCGGGCCCGGGCCGGCCTAGGCCCCGAGGCGGCTCCGCGCGGGGAGCGGGGGGCCCGGCTGCTCAGGCGGCCTGGACGGTGCGTGCGCGGCTCCGAGGGGCCTCCGCTCCAGCCGCCGCCTCCGCCGCGCCTCGGCCTGCCGGCACCGCCGCTACCTCCTTCCGCTGCCTCCGCCGCCTCCGCCGCCGCCGCCGCCGCCGCCTGCAAGCCGCCTCTAGAGCAACCGCCAGTCGCTCCTCCCGCCCTCCGATACGGCCGACAATGCTCAAGTGGGGCGGAGCGCCGCGCACCGAGATCCTTCCGCCGGGCCCCGCTCGACTTCCGGCACCCGACGGCGCTGCGAGCCCGCCCCCGACCCCGCTCCGGACCCCGCCCCGCGCGAAAGAAGCCCCGTTGCCAGGGAACTACTTTTTTTGACATTTGATCGTCTCGGCTGGCTGAGGCACAGTTTGTTGTCGGCGCCTGCGTGGTACCATGGGAACCACAAGGGGCGGGGCGGATGGAGATCCAGAGCAAGGTGGCCACGCCCCCTGGCGGGGGAAAGCATCAAGGGAGGGAGGGAGGAGGAGCTAAGAGAGCCCTGAGGGATTGGGGAAGCCTGGAAGGGGTTCAGAGACTGTTAGAGCTGGGCGGGTCCGGACTACTGACCGACCCCTGGTTAAGCTCGAAGTCGGGAGAAAATCCTAAAATGCTTATTAGTTGGGTGACACTTGGGGAGACGCTGAGCCTCAGTTTCTTCTGTAAAATAAGAATGATCACAGCACCCACCTCCCAGGGTAGTAATGAGCTTCTCTCAACCACTTTTCTTCTCTGTAAAATAATAGCGAGCATATCGAGACAGAGAGAGAGAGAGAGAGATACCTCATTAAGGTATGCAAAGCACTTTACACTCTGTTATCTCTGTGGTCTGTCCTGGCCCTTCTTTTCCTCTCTATACTGTTTCACTTGGTGATCTCATCAGCTCGCATAGATTTAATTACCATCTCTATTCTGGTAACTCTCAAATCTACCTTTCCAGCCCCAACCTCCATGCTGGCCTTCAACCTCGACATCTTCCAGACATCTCAAACTGGATGTCCAGTAGACATCTTAAACTCAACATGTCCAAAATGGAACTCCTTATCTTTCCCCCTAAACTCTCTCTGCCCCCCCCCTTCCCTATTACTACGGAGGTAACACCATCCTCTCAGTCCCTTGGGTTCACAACCTAGGAATCGTGGATTCCTCACTTTCTCAACCCTGCCCTGCAATACACAAACTGTTGCCAAGGCTTGTCGCTTTCACCTGTGCAGCATCTCTTGTCAATTTCACTTCTACTGCATCTCTCCGTTAAGCCCCTTCTCTCTGACACTGCAACCCTGATACAGAATTTCATCACCTCATACTTGCGCGTTGCAAGGTCTGACTGCCTGAAGTTTCTCTCTACTCCAATCCATCCTCCATTCAGCCACTAAAATAATTTTCCTAAAATACAGGTCTGATCATGTCACCTACTCCCCACCTACTCAATAAATTCTCTGGCTGTCCCACATGCCTGAAGTGCTTTCCCCTCCTCATCTCCACCTACTGTCTTCCTTCAAGTCCCAACTAAAATCCCATTTTCTACAAAAAGCTTTCCTCAGGGGCAGCTAGGTGGCGCAGTGGATAGAGAACTGGCCTTGGAGTCAGAAGGACCTGAGTTCAAATCCAGCCTCAGACACATAACACTTACTAGCTGTGTGACCCTGGGGCAAGTCACTTAACCCCATTGCCTAACCAAAAAAAAAGAAAAAAAAGAGCTTTCCTCCAATCTCTTTTTTAATATTTTATTTTTTCCAGTTATATGAAAATTTTCTGACATTCTTTTAAAAAAAATTTTTAGTTCAGAATTCTCTCCTTCCCTGTCTCCCTTCTTCCCCTCATTGAGAAGGCAAGCAGTTTTATATAAGTTATATATGTCATGCAAAACATTTCCATATTAGTCATGTCGTGAAAGAAAACACAGACCAAAAAACAAAAAAAAAAAATCAAAAAAATAAATTTTTAAAAGGTATGCTTTGATCTGTATTCAGACTTCATTAGTTCTCTTATTTTTCATTTTTTTTTTCATCATGGCATTTTTCATCATGAGTCCTTTGGAATTGTTTTGGCTCGTTGTATTGCTGAGAATAGCTGAGGCATTCACATTGATCATTGTACATTTTTGCTGTCACTGTATACAGTGTTCTCCTGCCCGAGCCCTCATGATTCTAGTGCCTTCCTCCTTTTAATTACTTCCTATTTATCTTGTATTTAGCTTACAATTTATTTCTTTGTATGTTGTCTCCTCCATCAGATTGTGAGCTCCTTGAAGGCAGGGGCTGTCTTTTGCCTCTTTTTGTGTTCTCAGTTTGTAGCACATCCTTGGCACACAGTAGGCACTTAAAAATGTTTATTGACTGACAATGCTGTAAGGTATTATCCTCATTTTATAGATGAGGAAACTGAGACTGAGAAAGGTTAAGTGTCTTGCTTAGGGTCACACAGCTAGTAAAGTGTCTGAGGCCAAATTTGAACTCAGGTCTTCCTGACTTCAACACTTATCCACATCTCCACTTAGTATAGCACCCACTTCACAGGATTTTTTTTGAAGTCTCTTAAACTTTCTCAGCCCTGGTTTCCTCATCTGTAAAATGGGAATAATCAATCAGTCAACATTTATTAAGTACCTATTATGTGCCAGGCATTGAGGATACAAAAAGATAAAAAAACAAAACAAAACAAAAACAATAACAACAACAACCAAAAAAAATAGTTCCCCGCTCTCAAGGAGCTTACAATCTGATAACAACAAACATTTCCCATGGTTGTCTTGAAGATCAAATAAGACAACATTTAGAGCACTTTGCAAACTTTAAAGTCTATAGCAATGTTAACCTATTATTTTTACAGAGGAGGAAACTGAGGATCAGACTAACTAAATGACAGCCAGTTTAATTGAACAACAAGCATCTATTAATCATCCTTAATGAATAAGGAATTGTGCTCAGTTCTGAAGTTTCAAAGACAAAAAGGAAAAATAGTCCCAGACTTCAGGGACCTTCTGTTCCACTGAGGATATCCCCACATAGAAACAGACCAGGCAATTTGAGCTAATTTGAGAAAGGGGAAAGTACTAAGGATGAGAGGAGGGGGAATCAGGGAAAGCTCCGTGGAGAAGGTGATGCTTGGGTTGAGCTTTGAAGAAGCTGATGTGAGGACGGAGGTCATATTCCAGGTGTAGCCAGAAGCCAAGAACCCCAAGTTCTGGCTCTGGTTGCAGAGGACAGCCTTGACTTCATTCCACAACACTTTGTGTATAAGACAACAGAATGGACTCCCAGCAATCCAACGGCAATGAACACAATTCTCATCCAAATCCAGTCATTCCAGGTGGTCTTGCCTTGGCTCCAGGGACTGACACAGGCTCTATGAACTTGGAATGCCCTCCTGAAGGAACATGAACTTGGGGGTGCTCAGGAGGTAACCCTACTTCTCATTAGATGTGCACTGTCTGAATGGCTCACAGTCAGCTTTGCTTCCCCACATCATGGCTCTGTCCTTGGCTGCATCCCTCAACTCTGGGGCCAAACGTTCGGTGCTCTCCTCCTTAGCCCAGGCACATCTCTTTCTTCTCTCTCTAGAACACCTGGTCCCAGAAGACTGGGGTCTGAGAACTCCCCTACTCAACCCCCTGTGGGGCGGGTTCCTGGCTCCCCACAGCTCAGTCTGGGAATTTGAGGAGCTGAAACATTTGTCACTCAATCATTAGCTCTGTCTGCTGCCGCCTTACAGACTGAAAGGCTCGGTCGGGGCCTCTCCACAGCTGTTACAGCTAGGACTGAAGAGGCGCCAGTCTTAGCTCAGGCTTCACCCCTAGGAACCAAAGCTGGCTTTCATGATTCCGGTCTCAGCTTTCTCTGCATCTTTCTAAATGGTCTTGTCTGCCCCCTTCTATAAACCAAAGACAAACCTGATACCCAACCCACAGCAGCCTGAACCATCATCACATTCTCCCCTGGCTAGAGACTTGTCAACATTGTTATTGTTAGTGCTATCTTTCATAACATCCTATTTCTAACATATGCCTCCTACCTTTACATTAGAGGACTTTAATAGTTTTATATTAATGTCTTCCCTCAAACTTGCTAACGACCCAATTCCCGGACCATCTTAAATTCTGTGACCTACTCCCCTCCTTCATTCTGCCTCAACCACACATGGGGATGGTCCCATCCTAGATCTCATCATTGGCCATGGGTCTTCCACTTCCTCAGTTACAGACTGACACAGGCCTCTAACTAGGGAAAGGACTTTCTAGGTAACTCTCCATTATCACAGTTGGTTTCACTTCCAGCCCTTAATACAATGCCCAGCACATAGTAGGTGCTCATTAAGCGTTCATTGAATCGTCCTGTCACAATTCATCTGCCAAACTTCAGCCCTTAGTTACTCTCACCATTCTACTCCTCTTAGCCCCCTTCAGTTCTTTTATTCCTCCCTAACTGATTCACTGCCAAAAGAAGCTGTTCAAACCTTCTCTTCCCTCTTTAAGCCCCCCAAACTCCCCTTCTTGGACTCTGGAGGAGAGAGTGAGGCTCATGACTTTTCCTAATTCTGTTTCACTTAAATCCAGTTCACTTGCAAGTCAAGACGTTACCACCATGATGTTACTGGTCATCTTCAGGAATGAAGGACGAACAACCACCACCACCTCCCCCGCCCCTTTGCCTCTATCAAAGCTGAGGACCTTGCTTCTTATTTTACTAAGAAAACTGTTGTTACTATTGTTCAGTCATTTCAGTCATGTCCAACTGTTTGTGACCCCATCTGGCAAAGATACTAACGTCATTTGAAACTGAGGCAAACAGGGTTAAGTGACTTGCCCAGGGTCACACAGCTAATAAGTGTCTGAGGCCAGTTTGAACTGTAAGCCAGGAGCTCTATGTACTATGCTACCACCTAGCCACCCACATCTTAAATTGAACATGTCCAAAACTAAACTGATAGAGGCAGCTAGATGGT